TGCCCCTCCCTGCCTCCCCAGATGCGGGATGATGTGGCCTCCGCTGGCCTGCTCCTTGCTGAGGGAGGTCCAGGGGGACCCCGAGGCCCGGGGAGGGACGCAGCTCTGGGCTGCAGGCTCCCACAGGCCCATCCCTGTCCTGCTTCACCAGCAGGACCCCTGTCTTGGGGACACTGAGGACCCTGTGTCTGGGGAGCCACACAGCCTCTGGTTGACACCCCCACCCAGTGTCCTCAAGGTCACGGCTCTGTCCTCACTGTGTGTCCCCTGGCCTCCGTGCCAACCCCAGCCTCGGCCCACAGCCCTCTCTGCCCCAGGGCCCTGGTTTCTTTCCTCTGCACCTTCCTTTGCCATGGCCCACAGGATGCTTCCCCGAGGGCCCAGAACGTCCCTCCCTGGGAGCCAGGTTGCCTGAGCACCTGGTGGTCTTCATGGTGGAGCAGAGGGGGCCTTGCCAGGGGTGTGCTGCAGCCTGTGTCCCAGGCCCAGAGGGCCTGCAGCACCGGGTCCCCAGGGCTGCCGCCGCCGTGGTGAGCGGGCTCCTGGGTGGCATCTGTGCCCCCAGCAAGGCTGCCTCCTGCGCTGAAGGAGCATGTCCCACCACAGCCCTGGGCCCACATCCTGGTACACAGCAGGTGCTCAATAAGACGGGCAGAGCCTGCTGCCCTTCAGCCCCCAGGCCCCCCACCCCGCGCTGCCCAGGGTTGGGCCGGTGACACAGCTCCTCTCCCTGCCCTGGGCAGGGCTACACTTGCTGCAGGAGTGTAGGCCAATGAGTGGCAGCTGTTTATGGGCAAGATTTATAACCCACCTGGGACATCAGCTCTGGGGACAGGGAGCCACCACCCACTCTGAGTGTGGCTTCCCCTCTGGTGGGGCAGGGTGGGGTGCTGGCCTCCTGACTCACTGAGGCCAGTGGGTGGGGTCCAGGGTCTGGGTTCAAGGTTGCTGGGCCCACCCAGCTGTGGCCCAGGTGGCTGCTGTGACCCCTGCCTCAGTGCCACCCCGGACGCCCCTGAAGGGCTGCTGGGCAGGTGCCCACATTCCAGGAATCCCCCTGCTTGAACCCTTGGTCTGTCCTGCAGTGCTGAGCCCCAGCCTGGGGGGGAGAGCCTGGGGGGGTCCTGGGG